TATTTTGGTTACATAATAGTGGACAGTTATTATTTGTAGAATTAATAGGAATTTGAAAACAAAGATTGGGATGAAATAATTTTGAAGGAATGCACCAAGGTGTCACTGCTCCAGGAAGCTCCTGGCCTAATTATGACTGAGTGAGTATGAAAAATTCACAGAAAGAAATTTACGAGAATACATTGTAATTTAATGCAATAAAGAAATAAGTTTTTACTAGATAATTAAAGATTTTCAAGTTTAAATAAAAATAAAATAAAAGAAAGATTTTCTTTCTCTATATAGTATTTAAAGTAAATATTATTATAGTATTATATACATGGAATATTTTAATATGCTCAGATTATTTACACCTACAGATCTTTTATCTTGGATTAGATTGATATATATAGTTGATTTACTTATTACAGCTCTTTCATTAATTCATTTGCAATGGATTATTTTTCTTATTAGATTTTTAAGTTACAAGTTGATTTGCTTAGATGTGCTACATTGAAATAATAACAAATTATTCATGTTTGATACCAAACGTTTATAAAAATTATTTTCTAAAAATCTACAACTGCTATAATTATTGCCAATAGAAGGAGTATCTTTAAGTTTAATTTTAAATGTTAATAGTTTTATAAATTTTAATTTGTAAGTTGACCAACCCTCCTCTTTTTCAATATTTAAACACTAATAATCCATATATCAGATAGATGAAAATTTTCTTTTTTTAAAGAAATTAGCATCGTGAATATATAGATTTAAATTAATAAAATTACTATTGGAAAATCAACACATTTAAATTCATAAAAAGATGATTAAAATATGGAGCCATTAAAAAATGGACATAAACCATGCAAACATTTTTTTTATTCTTATCCGCTTTGTGTTGTAAAGCTCTTGAGATAGATCTCCAGTTGATAATTTTATTTTATTTTTTTCCAGAATCTAATAATTTTTGAAAATAAGAAATAGAGATTGAAAGTCGATGTATGCTGCAGCACTGTCTCACAAATAAAACAACAAGATATTCTGATTATATTATTATTCATAAATCAATAGTAATATAATCAGAATATTTTGTTGTTTTATTTGTGAGACAGTCATCTTTAATGCTTGAGGTATTCATCTGTGTATTTTATCAGCTTTGTGACATCTGGAATCTTTGTATATATTCCAACTGGCTCATCATAAGCTTTCTGAATAGGGTGCTCTTATGAAACATCGTGCTTTGCAAGTTTCAATGTTCATAAAGTTAATGGATAATTATAATAGCATCTCTTAAAATACCCCGGCAAGGCTATTTTATAATTAAAAATAATAGGGTATTTCATAATATAAAATATATTTCGTTTTTGTAGGCAGAAATATCATTCTCTAGAAAATAGAGAAATCAGGTACAATAGATTTTATGTAAAAAAAATTTAACATTTCCTATAATTTCCTCACATAAGCAAAATAAAAATTTGTAACAATTAATCTACACAAATGAATGAAATATATAAACTAAAATCAATTAAGAAAACAGGAAAAGTTGATTAGATGGCTAAGCTAGGTGCTAAAAGAAGGTACTCAAGTATTTTACCACGTCCTATGCTTCCATTATTAAAAAGTTAGTTTATATTCAAAGATCATTGTATTTGGCCACAAACCTAGGATTGCATGATTCATTCATTTCGACTGTTCCATTTTTAAGTGAAGATTTTATCATGTTTCCTGCTGTAAATTCGGAGCGTCGGGAATTCATATCATTGCCTCAACCCTTCAATAAAAATAAAAATATGTAATATATTCAATTGATTTATTAACATATTTTCAAATATACCCATGATCCAAATGCAAAAAAAAAAAAACAATATATAAAAATACATTTATAATCAAATGTATAAATGCTTTTCTGATATAGTATTATATTGTTTGTTTTACAATAATTATGCTGATTATGTTAAGTGCCACTCATAATTTTTATAAATAAACTTCTGAGTCTTTTTTTTTTTTTTTTTTGAGGGGGAGGAGGTCTCTCGCTTCTCTCCAACCTGAATGAAAAGTGGCGCCTATGCCTGTATTATAATATAATTATTAAACTTTTTGAGTTATTTAAAGTAAATTACTATGAAATATTGGGAGGTCAAAGACTGGTATGGTCCTCTACATGAAATATGCGGGTAAGATGGCAGAAAGTGTCTTACCCATCTGGTGCTGTCGCCTTAGTTTCCTCTTATTATAGTGATAACTAGAAATTATTCTGTTTCTTAGGTGAGTTTACACCTCAGATTATTTTACTCTTTAGAGTGGCAGATGAACTATCGAGGGTAGAATTAAAAGAGTAAAGGCCTCTGAGAGTTCTCGCCGAATGTAGAAAGCGAGGTCTAGGAGGGGTCCAATAATGCATCAACCACTCTGGTATAAATGATTATTAATTATGAAATTGTTAATTCGAAGTGAATTGCTAGTTCTACAGATTCCAACCTACAAGTTTGTTTTAATAATTATTTTTCTACAATACTTCCTAGGACATAGGGAAAATTGAAATAGATAGTATGACATACGGGTACATAAAAACTGATCTATTTGGTAAGTTTTACTGATTGCAGCAGCAGTCTTGATAATTAGTTTTAAAATCTTATTCAACGATGATTATTTGCTCATTATCGATTTACACAGGATTGTGATGCTAAGATATCTGGAAAAATCCCACCATTGAAGAAGTTTCCTCTAGTCGACGATAGAGGCCCTACAATTGGAAATAAAAAGAGAGGGGCTATAGGTGACGGACGACAGGATTAGCTGGATGGTACTAATTGCTAAAGAGGGCGCTCTAATGGCGCAGGGGCAGAGCGCTTTCAATTTATTCGCATCATAATTCCCGAGCCGGTATATATTAGAGTCCGTGCGGCTCCAGAGTAACTTTTAATATCGCCCTAACTCTTGCGAATATCCCTTTTAAAGGGGACTGGCTATCCCCCCGCCCAAGGCAACATCTGAGGCATCCACTCTAGCATCGATATATTGTCAATGTTGACACAGGTGTTGTCCAACTTTTGTTCATTAATGACCCCTTACTTGAATCGATGATTATAAATAAATTAATTATCATTATTGCTTTCCGTATAAGCAAACCTTAATTAAATCTACGAAGTACACTTGATTAAACTGAAAATTTGTATGCAAGTATCCAATTAATGTTCAAATGTCAAAAAGAGCCCTCTATATCAATTCATCAAAATACCTAAATCTCACCATCTCGGACCCACTTGAAATATGGTGTAATATTCGTATAAACTTAAGTTATATGATACTTAGCTGAGATATGTTAACTCATTTCCGAAGCTGTAAACTTTTCATAAATTGGTACCAAAGGAGGTAACAACAAGTTTTGTAATCTCTGTAGAAGCTTAGTGAATAGAATAAAAAGGGTAGTTTTCAGAAGTATTTTTCTCATCGTAACAATACCAAATAAAAATTCAACAGCTGCCTTGTACTTAAATTTAATTTATTTACTAATACGAAAGTGATTAAATATAACAGAGCTAGGTTAGCGACAAGAAAAAAAGTTGACTTCAACATAATGTATATTTTATTATGTTTAGTTGGAAAATTAGAATTTTATGGTAATTCAAGTAAGTTTGTATTACTTACTTTTCTTTCGTGTGTAGAACCTAAATTCATATCAAAAGTAAAATAGAAGAAGTAATAATGAAAACTATGGACTGCAATGTTCTATTAATAATGACACTTAAATTAATCGCATACGATCATGAACTTACACATGCTATGGTATGGTAAGTACCAATTAAAAATCAAGATATAAACATAATAAAACAGATTTCAGTATTTTGAGCCTAGTTTGTCACAATACATTCACAGAATCTCAGACTTGGATCCATTAAATTAAACTATTGGACAAGCTGTTCGCTCAAATAGTTGTCACATACATTCAAACGGGAAGATTAAGCACATTTAACATTATTTTTTAATATTTGAGCTCAAATTGTTTAAAATACTTGCATGATCTCATTGAATAACATGAGCCACCAGCCATGAAACTTTGTTTAACTATTTCCTTGAACAAATATATATCTTCAAACATACCAAGAACATTTAATACCATTATTTTCACTATTTTGAACTCTATTGTTTCAAAACCTTCACGAGATCTTATCGAATAATTGGAGCCAACGACCTTGAAAATTGGTTGAATTATTCGTTCAAAAAATCGTTACATTCTTTCAAACGGACACATTAACACAATTAATACCGTTATTATTCAGTATTTTGAACTGATTGAGAGTATTTTACAAGTGGGAAAGAAAAATCCTTCGCAAAATCTAGTACCCAACCAAATGAGGAAATCTGACAGATTTAGACTAATGAAGAGCTGAAGAATCTATATAATGCCCTAGATACTAGATCAACCATAATAAGGTGAAGTATAAGATGGCTTGGTCACCTGCAAAGATTGGAACATAGCAGGCTCCCTAAAATGATGATGGTGGAAGAAGAAACAGAGGTAAGTTTAGGCTTCGTTGGATGTCAAATACGATCTTATTTGCTTAGGTGTTGTCGGATGAAGAGGGGTAGCCGAATACAGATCGGTTTGGAGGCTTATAATAGTTGCCAAGGTTCTGCAAGGACCATAACGCCATCGGATGTTGATGATGATTTTGAACTGATGTTGTTTTAAAACACTCTCGTCGTCTCATTTCATAATTTGATTCACCGACTATGAAAATTGGTTAAACAGTTCGCTCAAAAATTGTTTCATACCCTCAAAGGATGAAGCTCCTTGTGCCTTGACCGATTGATTATAGTTATAATTTACAATCACAGATGTTGATAGTATTTAAAAATGGCACGTCAACAAAAAAAATAAGAAGAATTTAAAAAAATGCCATAAAATTGGCTCAACCCTGCCGTAATACGTAGTATCCTCAAAGATAAGCTCAATAACATATAGTTTTGTCAAGAATGAGACAAATATTAATTCCAAACCATTTCAGTTTCCATAACAATGCTAATATTATTGAAAACAAAAAAGTCGTTTGCATATGATTACTTACGTTTTGATGCAAATGTTAACAATATCAAAATCAACTTTTAAATCTTTCAAATCAGGCAATTTAAATAGGAAATTAAAAAAAATATTGTTTTATCAATGTCGCTCTACAGAAGAGACATTAAAAATAAGCCAAGGTGGAAAGATGTGTACGAAAGAGCTCCTGAGGTTCCGTACATTTCTAAAGGACCCATGACTTTGAAGGTTTCCATGAATATGTTCTGTGAGAATAGAAGACGGCTTGTACAGGAACTGCGGAAAGCGACACCACACGCTCTGGTTCTGGTTCAAGCGGCTAGTCCTCAAACCTGCCTTGGTAGGAGTTCTTATGTTCAGGATTCTATTTTTTTCTGGACATTTGGCTATAATAGATCTCGAGCGATGGGAGCCATTGACTTGGTCAGTAGCAAGTCATATTTAATAGTTTCACGGGAAAGCACTGATGGTTCGGAATGCTGCGAGAAGCGGTTTAGCAGAAAAAAGATAAAAAGACAATATTTTGTGGACAATGTTTGGTATTTAGATGAACTAGATTGCATGTTAGATTTAATGAAGAACTATAACGACTGCCGAGAAATACTAATATTGAACTATCAGAAGCAGGAGCTGCCAGCGAATATTTTTAATTATGAAGTCGATTATCTTTTACTTGAGCCTGTCATACGGGAGCTTATGGCAAAAAAAACGAAAAGTGAGTTAAAAATTTTACGTTACATTGCAAAATATTTAGAGAGTGCCCTTATGCACATCATGCAAAGGTTTAGGCCTGGTATGACTGACAACCAGTTGGAGGCTTGGTTCTCTTTTTTTATGACCTACAAGAGTGACTTTGATCAGCTGACGTTCTGCATATTCTCAGGTGGCAATCATCTAGATCATCATAATTGCGGAAGACGGTTACCTGTCTCTAAACGACAGAAAGTATTTAAAGAAGGGGAATTATGCATTATTGATGTGGGAGCATCCTATTTCGGATTAAAGTTGTCTTTGGGGATCGTCTTACCTGTGAGTGAACGCTTCAACAGTTTACAGAAAAATGCTTACGAGACAGTGCTACAAATGAGAATCAGTGTCTGCCGGGTATTGCAACCCGGTACGCCATTCCAAGAAGTGCAAAAAAGAGCCGAAAAATCTCTAATTTACATTTTAATTGAATCAAAACTGCTCTATGGCACAGTTGAAGGAGCTTATGAACACGGTATGGGAAAATTTTTGATTCCATATAATGTGGTCCGGTCTATGGACGTTCTTTGTGAAGATCAGCAAAAGCTGGAGTTAGGGAAGACCTATTTAGTTCAACCTGGGTGTTATTTTACCAAGAGTTGGTTGGATGAGGCCTATAAGGACGAAGTTTTCAAACTATATCTTACGCCTGATCTGCGTGATTACGAAGACATCGTGGTCAAAGTGAGCGATCCGATTATTATTACAGACGAAGGTTTTAGATATTTGTCGGAAATGCCCAGAGCTTGTTGTACCATAAATGACATGAGATTGGTAGACCAGGTAAAAAGAAGCGATTTTACTGATACCCAGGTAAAAGAAAATTTGACGGTTAAACCGAGTTCGTTCCGTCTCTAATATTAAAATTACATTGATACGAGAAGAATTATAAAAGTCATTATTTAATTTACAAGGTTTAATATCTCCTTTTGCATATTAATATTTAAATATCCTTCCGATCGAAGGATCGTGCAACTGGATCTAATGGCATCATGTGGCACCCGTGAAAAGTGTATTAAGTGCACTTTGCTGGATTTTTATGGCTATCACTAGAAAGTTAATTTTCTCCCTTTCTTTGTGTCTGATGGGCTAAATTATACGGCTATTACAGAGAAGAACATTTCTTTGTGAATGATGGGTTGAATTTCGAAAATTGAACTTGGACCTGTGAAAATATCAACCTTCAATTTCGTTTTTCCATTAGAATTTTGCACTTAACACATTGTCTACAGGTGTCAGATATATATAGTATCGAGTACATATATAGTATTTCGATGAATGAGGTATCAAACGAAAGGGATTTCATGGAGCATCGATGGGTTTGTAATTTGCCGCTATGGGAATATACACCATCCTTCCGAAATTTTATAAAAAAAGTTAGGGAGAAAAAGAAACTTTAAAGAGAAAATTGGTTGGGGTGATCAGTAAAAAAATAAGTATGTAATAATAAATAAGTATATTTATTTTTGAAGTGAAAACTTCTTTAAGCGCGTTTTACACTTTTTTTGTGGATAGTGAATTAGATTGATCCGTCAGATTTTAACACTCGGGTGAAATCGGCTGTAGTCGACTGATTGAAATGTTTTTACATATGGTTTAAAATATCTCAGAAACTGAAAATCCGGCATCTGCAATTCAAAATTGTATCCTAACGCGATGCCGTGTTAGGGAGTTGAGGACGAAAAAATATGGTCGAAAACCAAATGATAACGAGGTCAGTTGAATATCTGGATTAAAATATTTGAGATACTGAAAATTGGACCAGTAAGAGAGAGAAATGTTCAGCATTTTGACGTCTTTGTAATGAGCTATTATTCAAAAATGTATATAAACCCAACACCGTATTAGAGAGTAGGAGAAAGAAAAAGATAGTGCCCAAAACCAAATTTTCTTTATGTGTTATTAATTCCCGCGAACGAGATTGGAACACAATATAATTTTTTTTTTTAGGTCCCTTAACTCGCTCTACCACGGCCCCTTATTAAATACATTAAACGTCGGACAAAAAAAAATACCGAATAACTCATCTACTAAGTTCTACAATCCTTTCGATGCGTCTAGAGATTTTGATTTATAAAACAATCTGTCCATTGTTATGATACCATGATACAATGATACCATAAATAAATACATTTATTCATGTAGTGTAAATTACTAACAATGAGAGATTATTTCTCATTAAAAGATTATTATGAGAAGGAGTTAGTCGAGGGTGCGGTCAAATAAATAATAAATTAAAATATATTAATTATTTTAATTTTTACCGACGTTTCGACCCACTTTGCAGGTCGTCTTCAGGGCTACAAAAGATACAAAACATGTCGAAAGTAAAAAATAAATATAAGTATATATAAAATAAGAAGAAGTTGTCAGATACAGAAATAAAAGATGGTATCAGAGATATACTGGGTGACAATGTAGAATTATATATGTAGAAGATACAAATAAATGGAAAATAAGTATGAATAAAAATAAAAATAAAGGAGAATATAGCATGTAAGTATATATATATATATATAGAATATAGCATGTTTTTATTTTTATTCATACTTATTTTCCATTTATTTGTATCTTCTACATATATAATTCTACATTGTCACCCAGTATATCTCTGATAACATCTTTTATTTCTGTATCTGACAACTTCTTCTTATTTTATATATACTTATATTTATTTTTTACTTTCAACATGTTTTGTATCTTTTGTAGCCCTGAAGACGACCTGCAAAGTGGGTCGAAATGTGGGCAAAAATTAAAATAATTAATATATTTTAATTTATTATTTATTTGACCGCACCCTCGACTCGACTAACTAATTCTCATATTATATCAACGGTCAACTACCTCTACATCATTATAAAAGATTATTAGATTTTATTATTAATTATTTCTTATTAAATAATTAAATGTTCTTTAGAGGTGGAAATTTTGAAAATTCGGCACTTCAGCTTTATTAGACTATATCAATGAGTTCTATATATACCTGATATTAAAGACCATTCAATTCCACATAGATATGATAAGTTTACTCAAAATAGTTGAAGCCATTTTCGAATAAAATATAATAATGAATTATTTTTTAGAAAAATCATCTTTATTCTGGGACTAGGTCCCTTTAGAATAACAGTATTGTTCATATATATTAACTACAAATCTGGTCAAAAGACTTATTACAATGAATAATGACAAAATACATGTAATACATTAAGTATTAATTAAGCTCTTAGGATAAATTAACGAGGGCAGTTGGGTAATAGGGGTTCAGTACGACAATATTGGAGCTAAAATAATTGCATAATAATCACTGAATGAAAGTAGAAAGGAAAGTAAAGATTATAAATATATTTCGATAATATATATTACCGATCCCGGTTTCGACAAAAATGTTGCTGTAACATTTTTAAATTTGGACGATAGTCCGAAACCTTAATTGATGTATTGGGCAAACGTCATAAACAACTTGCTGCTTGTAACACGAACTTCTAGAAATTAAAAGTTTATTAGCTAGATTCTGAAGACACAACATGGTTTGTTGACATTTTAGCGTTTAATGCCACAGAAAATTATACACTTAAAGTGGATCCACGATCTGGTTAAAAAGTACATTTAAGATCAAGATTAAGAGATAATTTATAAGAAATGCATACCGTAGAAAAATATGAAGATGAATCTAAGAGAGGTAATTCTCAGTTAAATGGACTGTGAATTCTGAAGTTGGGGATAGATAATCCATCTTACTACAAATAATTTCTTGCTGAGGCCCGGTGTGGGAAAGTGGCAGATATAGACCAGAGGACTAGAAACTATTATTTTATACTCGTTGAGAATCCTACATTACCGTGTTTATTAATTTATGCCTTCACTGATTCGATGCCGTGTACTGTCGATTCAATACTCAACGTATTTGCTATACATTACAATGGTCCCACTAAATCCCTTTTGTTTTGTTTTAAATAATATCTGTTGTCCGATGAGTATGCTGTGTGATTTATCAACTTAATAAAGTTGAGTAGCCATGCAATATTGTTGTAGTTCTCTTTATACGACCTATCGTTTTTGAGTTAAGCCGTTCACATACACCTCAGGCTGATCTACGGGAGAGGGATAGGGAGGGAGGGGGCTTTTAGGCTGAAACCTCTCCAAAATGGTAAAATATTACCACGTCTTAAGGAATTAATATTAAAAAAACATCTCTAAAAGTATTATCGTTCGTGTAATTACATCCAATAGGACTTCAAGAATCTCAAGAAACACCGTGTCGTATAGGTAGTAAGTTAGTTAAAAAAAAAAAAAGCTACGGGACTGAAGCTCTCCAAAATGAAATACTGGATCTTCTAGTTACATGAACAAAAACACACAGGCCATATTGTGAGACTCATATTAAGCGGGTTTAAATCTTTAAGGAGGTTAACAAATAGTTCAGTTCCATTTACATGCAGGATTACCTGAGCCAAGGGTTCCAATCCGATATTTCCACTACAGAGCCGGTCCCGACTATCGATTGCCAATCGGCTGAAATATCGACCCGGCCGGAGGAGATGGTAATTGGAAGCGGTAGCCGGTAGTGCGCAGGCGCAGCTATTGTGTTGTCATTACTTGTACTATTTGCTCTGGAGACAATGGTCAGAGGAGACAATAAATCTTTGCAAGATAAGGAGCTCCCGCGCTGGCCGATGATATCAGCCACAATTATTGTATGTCGTCCGCCGTACATCCAGCTCCAGTCTAATGGCGGATCTCTCTTAATGGAATTTCCCTCCAGGGCTCACTTGGAATTTTGTAACAGACCAGTAGAGGTTAAGTTTATTCCTTTTCTGTTCACGGAGCATTTCTTCCATGAACGTTTTTGTTCCGATATAGAAGTTGCAAAAATATATAATAATTTTCTATTTATCCGATGTACCTTTCGAATTGCAATTCTTAATTTTTGTCCGCATTTAAGTGAAAGAACATACTATAATTAAACATATCGTTAGACTATTTCTAATCTGAATGGTTTAATTTCTTTGTGACTGAGGTATTAAAAATACCACAATGTTCAATTATGAATTCTAACTTAAACCTGCAACGGTTTAATCCCAGATATTGATTCTAACACGGAAATGTGTGCAGACGTTTCTCCTTCCTAGTTTATTCGAATTCCTATGTCTGAGGAAATGGATGTGTGAGCATCTTGTGTTTTATCCTTGTTTGGAAGATTATACCAGCAGTAGTGGCATAATGCTTGACCAATAAAATTGCTTTGTCCTCATCGCCCGATTCTTCCTTTCTATTGATAATGAGAGGTTAAAAATTGACAACTCAGTTACAAATTTGTTGTAGAAAAAAATCAGTACCATCTTGGCTTATACAGTTCATCTTGATCTATAAACCCTAAATGTATAGAATAATTGCAAACGTTATAACCCAACTCTATAAGAAACCTGTTCTCGAATTCCATAAACCCAAGCCCAACCCATCAACTAAGAATTGACAAAACAGAGGAGAGGAGGGATCCGATGGCCAGCATGGGTTAATTAGCAGAAGAAGTGTTCATTAAGTTGTCGGGGGTTCTTGTAGATTTATCTCCTCCAGGCCGACTTCAAAAATAAAAATGGCGGCAAACAAAGAACTTTCAGGCAGCTAGCACCGCAACGATTTACGACTGACAAACCTCTCGAGGCTATGATCTGTTACAAACCTGTAATCTTTAGCCCCTCCAACTTACTCCCCGATTTTAATATATATTTAATTGGAAACTAATACACTTATAAAGTTCTAAGGTACAAACCTTGCAGATATTTTGCAGTCTTAACAAACCTGCTCCATCGCTGCCTATCTTGAGCTGTTTCTTTTCAGTTATCTACACGCAGATCTATAATACCTTTGCTGTTTCTATCCACACATTTACTTTTTGGC